AATTGGGAAGAAAGCATTTCTAAATACTGTCACGTTTAGAATCTCCTTCAAACTACCCCGTTTATTTTGGTGGGTAAATTTCTGTGTGCTCCATCTTGATTACTGGAAAGACCACCTAAGGCCATCATAGTTATCATCCACTCCTACTCATAGTTCCTAATGTGTTGCTACTCAGTGTATTTGACGTTTCAGCAGCATAAGGGGGGAGGCTCTTAAAGGCAGGCTCTGGTACATTTCAACAAGATCCTCGAATAATTTCTGCATATGTTCTTGTTTGAGAAACGTTACTTGAATGAATCATTCCTTATCCCAGGAAAAGTGCCATCAAAGCACTGAATTTTGGTATTGACGAAATTATTTAAAGTACCATGGAGTGCCAAAAGAACAGATCTGTTTTGGAAGAAGTACAGCGGATTGCTTCTTAGAAGCGAGGATGGCAGTCTCTTTTATACTTTCAACGTATTGTCAGTCTTTGGTAAAATGGAAGGTCAGTGAAAAAGAGGTAGACCACCTCCCCCACCCCATCCCCAAGAAGATATGAATTGACACACTGGTTGCAACAAACATTGTGCTCAAACATAACAACTGTGAGGATGGTGCAGGACGGGCCAGCGTTTCGTTCTGTTGTGCATCAAAGGTCTAAGTCGCAAACGACTCAACAGCACCCAACACAAACACCTTTCCATGATGTGGCAGCAGCTGGGGTGGAGAGGTGTAAAACAATAAAAACTAGGATTGAGAAGCACCAAGCTAGCCAACCTAGGTGGTAGAACATTCCGAGGACACCAGGTCGTTGCCGCAACAAGTCAGAGTGGCTTGGCTTTCCGAGACTGACAACTTGCGCGTGCGCATGCACAAACCCAATACAGCGCTGTTTCACTTCCGTGAGTCCGCCCACAAGCAGTTTGCAGGCTTCCGGTTGCCTTGCTCTGAAATTCTGCGGCTGTTTCCCGAGAACTGTTTGTTAAGCCAGAATACCTAAAGATACAGCACTGAGGCTGCAATGGCCTGAGGTGAGTCCTCACGTCCACTGGCACAGCGCGAGACAATGTACCACGCTGCCGCGACCGTTCCTCTTCCGGGGAACTTGCGGGCCTGCTGCCACAGTCTTCCCACGCGTCACACAGCCGCTCATTGGTCAGAGCCGGCCTTGGTGTTTCCTGCCCCGCCCCGTGCAGGGGGGCTCCTCCCTCCAAGGTCCTGTGAGTTGCTTGGGGCGAAGGCAAGTTCCCTGTGTTATGGTGGTGGGCTGAGGATGCTTTCTTAATTCTTCTGTGGGGGCTAGGGCTGCTGGAACCCTGCTCCAATCTCTAGGATATCTGCAAAGGAAAATAAAAATTTCCGTGGAGAAACTTAGACTTCACTATATGTTTTTATAAAACAATCTTCTGAAATCTTGACACAGAAAATATGTTGAGGGTTTTTTGTTTTTGTTTTTGTTTTGGTGGGGGGGGGGGCTGGATTTTATCTTCAATAATAATTTGGCAACTAAATGTCTTCCTTGTGACATCACTTCCATGTTGTCTGTTCCTGGGTTGCTTCATCCTAGATATTTTTCAGATCTCCCAATTCAATGGGACCCTCTCCACAATTTAACGCACTAAACTTTCTATATATGTTCAAGTTTTAGAAACGTTACCTGATGGATCATCCCTTTCCCCAGGAAATGTATCTGCTATACTTTTCCCAGATAGTGGCAAGCTGAAAACGATCAGGTCAGGATCGAGAGGTGTAAGAATGACAGCTCAGCCACTGAGTTTATGCTAGGGGTATGTCCAACTACTTGCTGTATTGCTGTTGTTAAGTGCCGTCGAGTCGGTTCCGACCCATAGCGACCCTGAACAGGGTTTCCGAGGCTGTAAATCTCTACGGGAGCAGAAAGCCTCATCTTTCTCCCGCAGAGCAGCTGGTAGTTTCGAACTGCTGACCTTGCGGTTCGCAGCTTGATTCGTAACCACTACGCTACCAGGGGGCTTCAAAAGTTTGTGGGAAAATTCCATCATCTTTCAATTCCGTTTTTCCACAAACATATTGGAGCACCATCTTACTTCTCTGTTAATAGGCATCTTAATAGGCATGTCATTATTTATCTAAAACTGCACTTAGATTGCTACCATCTTCCTCGTCTAAATACAAATTAACTCTAGTTGCTTAAAGGTTTGGAGCTATTTTTACCTATCCCATCTAATTGTTCAGTAAATTCT